AGAGGACCTACAGATGGTGAATAGACATATGAAATGATGCTTAAAATATTAATCACGAGAGAAATGCAAATCAAAACCACAATGAGCAATCACCTCACATCTGTCAGAATGTCTATCATCAACAAATCAAGAAACAAGTGCTGGCAAGGATGTGGAGAAAGGGGAACCCTAGTACACTGCTGGTGGGAATGCAGACTGGTGCAGCCACTGTGAAGAAAACTAAGGAGTTTCCTCAAAAAATTAAAAATAGAACCATCATATGACCTGACTAGCTCACTTCTGGTATTTATCCAAAAAAATCCAAAATACTAATTCAAAAATAGATATGCATCTCTATGTTCATTGCAGCATTATTTGCAATAGCCAAGCTATGGAAATAACCTAAATGGAATGCCCTTTCCCTTTATGCTGATGGAGGCCAAGTTGTCCTTGAAAACTCAGTTCTTGCTTCAGCTTCTCTTTGAAGCCTTCTCTGACATTTTCTAGATCTTTCCACTTCCTCATCCCTTGTACACACCTGTAACCTAGCGCTTAGTGGACTGAATTCTAACCCCTTGCTTAAATTTGTATCTTCTCCATAAAATCTGAGCTCCTGGAGGGCAGGGCCTTGTCTCAGGGTCTCTCCCTGCAGCTCGCACAGCGTTTCTAAACTCTGCTCTCCAGAGTTCCCACCCCACAACTTACTAACAGGTCTTCCTGACACAAGAACTGGTAGTCAGATGTGTTTGAGGAAAGCGGCATGTTGACAATACACAGGAGCTCAGTGAAATCTTTCAGCAGAAAGATCTAGTTTAACTCCTCTCCAGACCCAGGGCAGTGGGACGCCTACGCAGAACCTTCTAACACATGTGCCAGAGGCCAAGATGGAGATGTTCCCAGGTGACCAGGGAGCAGAGAAGGATCGGCCCAGGCTCAGGGCAGTAGCATTTCTAGAGGAAGTGACCTTGATCCCTCCCAGTAGAATAGTCAGCATTTTTTTAAAAAATTTGTTTTTATTGATTTGAGAGAGAGAGGAAGGGAAAGGGATAGAGAGATAGAAACATCTATGAAAGAGAAACATAAGATTTGCTGCCTCCTGCATGCTCCCAACTGGGGATCAAGCCCACAACCTGGGCATATGCCCTGACCGGGAATCGAACCTATGACCTCTTGGTTCATGGGTCAATGATCAACCACTGACCGGGCACAGTCAGCAATTTATTCCCCAGGAGGGAAATGCTGGTGCCCTAGTACTTCCAGAGACTGAACTTCAGGGTTGGATGTGATCATCAGGAGAGTTTAAAGAAAGTCAAAGTCTTCCAGGATGTTCTCGTCTCATATTCATTCCTGTGGTCAGACTCAGCTTTGAACTGGCCTGCCGCGGGCTGAATCACATCCCTAAACTCAGCGCACTTAACGCCTTGCTTCTACTATCCTATTGTTGCTATTTTCCTGTGCATGGCCTAGTGGGCTTCTGAAGGCAGGCAGGGGTTCTCCCATAGACTGCAAGCCCCAAGCACACAGGGCACCAGAGGAATGTTTATTGAATGCAGGAAACACAAGGATAATTTAATATTTCCTATTTGCATTGAGGCAGATGTGATGACGCAGAGCCTGAGCTCAGGTACGTCGAACCCCCGGGGGCATGTTTTGCAAAGGTTGAGGCTGAGGGGAGCAGACCCTTTCCTTCACCTCTGCCCAGAAGGAAGTGAACTCACTAGTTCCTATTTAACTCCCAGACCTGCGGATGGGAGGAAGGGGCCTGTTGGCATCTCTGACTTGGCTGTCCAGCACACTGCCCCAAAGAAGGCCAATTGTTTTAAAGACATTAAACTGTATTTCCAGTTTTGCGTGGAGGCAGTGCTCTACGGGGGGTTAGGGTGAGCACTGTGCCCAGTGTCTGGATTGGAATCCTGGCTTCATCACTTGCTGCCTCTATGACTTTGGGCAAATTACCTGACCTCAGTTTTCTCACCTGTAAAACAGGGGTGATTAGCATAGTACCTACCTCCTAGGACTCTCATGAGGACTACCTGATTTACTACGCATGTGGGATTTAGAAGAGTGCTTGGCATGTAGCAAGTGCTATGTGTGTTTGTAAAATCAATCGATTAATATTAGTCTCTAGGTTGGGCCAGATCCAAGATGATACAAAGGATCATGGCCAGAGAGTGCAAATTATCAGTAGTGTCAGCACCTACTGGGCAAAAGTAGGAATAAGAGTCATTTCTTCTGTTGTTTAATTTCATCCCCGACAACCTACAAAGTGGGCGTCATTTTCATGTTCTTAGAGGAACCAGGCTCAGAGGCGGGCATGCACAATGCTGTACATCTGAGTTAGGGGATGGATCCAGCCCTCAAATCCATGCCTGTTTCACTCACAAACCCCATCCTTTCTCATCCAGTGACACTTTCTCTCAGGGGGGTGTTTGTGTTACAGGCACCCCAACACTGCTTTGACTCTCTGGTCAGGAAGCAGTTCATAAGCCTCTTTAAAAAACAAACAAACAAAAAAAACATTTTTATTGATTTCAGAGAGGAAAGGAGAGGGAGACAGAGATGGAATCATCAATGATGAGCCTCTTAAATCACATAATTCATGTTGCTTCCCACCTATATGTTTAAAAGTCATTAGTTCTTTTATTAGAAAAGTTAAACTTGGTCCAGCCCGCATGGCTCAGTGGTTAAATGTCAGCCTAAGAACCTGGAGGTCAGTTTGATTCCGGATCAGGGCACATGCCTGGGTTGTGGGCTCGATCCCCTGTGTGGGGCGTGCAGGAGGCAGCCAATGAATGATTCTCTCTCATCATTGATGATTCTATCTCTCTCTTCTTCTCTGAAATAAATAAAAATATATACTTTTTAAAAAAGAAAAGTTAAACTTGCACATGACCCCTTTGTTTCACACACTACAGTAAAAAGCAAGCCTGTCTCGCTTTCACATTCTCCATTCCCCAAATCTCGGGCAACATTTCAAAACCAAATGCAGAGACCGCTTTATTTATTTCATTGTTTATTGTGATTAGCTCTACCACTACCTCCCATGTGGATGTTTCTTCCACAAATGATCCCTGCATTTATAAACATTTCAAATATGTACAAATGAGAGGGCGCTTTCCTCGTGTTACAGGCTTCCTCGCTTACACCCCAGTGTACAGGTGAGGAAGAGGAGGCCCAGGCGTGACTCAGCAGCTCGCACAGCTCCCCGCCGTGTCAGCCTGGGCTTCTGTCTGAAGCACATGGTTGAGTTTCTATTCAGTATTATTGCTGAGGTCTTATTGTGAGGAACATGCTCTTTGGGATTGCTGCTTATCTCTAACTTAAAAAGAAACGAGGTTTTTTTTTTCTGTTTGCTTTTTCAACCTTCAGCTTCCATGACCTTAAAAAAAAAATAAGCACAATCTGCGCTGACCTAAAAGGAGCCTGTTTACAACATGATCTGGGACCTGGATCGCGACCAGCTCAACTTCGGTGTAAGGTTCTCCAAACACATTTTTCCAAGTGGCAATTGGTTCATTTCCATTGACACGCTCCAGTGGTAAAATGGTAGTCTGGTACATCAGGAGGTGAGCTAGAGAGCTAATGGATTTTTTTTAAACTTTGAAACGTAGGCACCATTTATTATCCTTGTATTTAGCCAAATGCATATTTAAGGTTAGAACTGCTGAAGACAACATTCTAATAGTCTATAGTTTTTATTGAGATTGATATTTGATGGACCAGACAATCTTTAACATCACTTTTTGCTTTAAAACGCATGATTCTCTATAAAAAGAAAGTCATTTGCTCACTAAACCTGGAAAACCTGGTGAATTGTGTAAAAGAGCTCTGGAAAGTATTCCTGAATTGTTTTTTGTTTGTTTCCAAGAGTGTAGTGCATACATAAAAAAATACGCATTGTATTACACATTGTTTCCCAATGCCATAACTCCCTTTATCAACGCAGACACAGTCTTTGTAGACCTGGTCTTTCTGTATGAGATTATCATAGAAAAGCACAGAAGAAATGATGGTCCCTCCTGATTAAATGGTAGAATGCTGTGATTTAAATTGTGAAGTCAGGGCTAATCTCTTAGGCTTTGAAAATCGCTCCCTCTCATTTTCTCTAACCCCCTTTCTTCTTTTATCTGAGGAGGGAGAGTGAGGTAGGTAGATATGACTTTTAAAGTCCCAATGCAATGCCTATGACTAATGAAACATTAATGGTAGTGCTTAGTGCACCTTGAGGAGATCTCAAAGCAGAGTCTGTTCCTTTCATTCTATTAACTTACTCCCCAGGGGTCCCACCCTAGCAAGCAGAACTCCTTCTCATTGGCCGTCCTCCTCAGTCCAATCCAACTGTGACATTTTAGTCCTTCAAGAGTGGCATTCAAATCCCTGTGAACCCTTGGCCACGCCTCCTCTCTCTCCCAGCCCCAGTCAAGGTTAACCAACACCTTCCCTCTCCCTGCAGGGTCTGCAGCTGCTCCCACCGCCTGGCTGCCTCGCATCACTCCATAATCTGCAGCCTCCGTGGAGTCTCTCCCGCCCGCCACACGGTGCTGGCTCTGAGTCACGGCCACTCTGACCGCTCTGAGTCATGGCTTCTGTGACCATCTGCTGCCTTGTCCCCAATGCCCACTTCTTCCAGTGCCTTCACCTCCACAGGCATACTTGCCTCCCTTTGCCAATACTTACAACAGCCACACTGTCCCTGTCATCACCAGGCCTTCTGCTATCTCTAGGATGTGTCAACCAATGACCTTGCTCCCCAGAGGAGCAATGTCTGGAGACAGTTTTTGGTTGTCACATCTGGGGAGGGGAGAGCTGTAGGTCCCTAGTGAGTAGAAGCCAGGGCTGCGGCTGACCATCTACCTGGACAGACAGCCCCTCAGAACAAAGGAGTCTCCAGCCCTACATGTCAGCAGAGCCCAGGTTGAGCCTCCTGCTCTGGGAGACAGTGGAGGCCTTGATTCTCTTATTGCACTTTTGGCAGAAAGACAACAACAAAACAAAACACAATCTGTCCTCCAGGCACATACCTGGAGCCTGTGTTCTCTTTCTCGCGTCTCAGCTCAGGATCTTGTGGACCCAGCCCTTCCATCGGGTCTGGGTCCTTCTCCTCCCGGGGCTGGGCCTGGGACAGGGGGCTCCACCTGGGGAGAGAACCACTTTAGACCAGCGGTTTTCAGTGCTGGCCGCACATCAAATTCAGGTCATTTCAAAGACTTAGAATATTTAGAAAACACATACTCAGGATTCAAATTAAACTGGTCTGGGGTGGCGTCTGAGAGCTATTTTTTAGAACCCCCCCCCCACCTCCCCCGATAATAACACTGTGCAGCCAGAGCTAGCGCCTGCAGGACTGGCAGCCTGTTGAATGCACAGAGAAGACCTGCCCAGAGAGCCGTAGGAAGTTACACCTGGACCCGTTAGCACTAGGGGAGGAGAAAAGTCTTAAAACTGTGGTCAGCCTGCGTCATCGGGGCAAATTCGGATTCTTGGAGGGTCATTGTTCAGAGTCCTTCTATATCTCAAACTGGGGCTTACACTAATTTTAAATATTTATCAAAAGCCAGGAAATGAGGGTAAAAGCTATCTTCATAATTAAGCAGTCTCTGCTAGTTATTCATGAGTCATGGGGAACAATGTTTTTATCTTCTTGCAGGAAGACAAAGTCACCCTGCACTAAAGCTTTGAGAGGAATCATAGCTTATGAAAATAATGGGTGGCATCATAAATCACAAACGTTGTCTCTATGATATATGACCACTCTCATTCTGTACATTTCCTCCCTATTTCAATACAATGGAGTCTTTATAATACAAATTAATCTGGCATTAACCTCGGAGTCCTTAGTCTGCTTTCCCTAATGAAACTGAAAATAGTAAGCCTGTCAGAGAAAGATAAGTATCACATGATCTCACTTATATGTGGAAGCTAATGAACAAAATAAACTGATGAATAAAATAGAACCAGAGACAAAGAAGCATGAAGCAGACTGGTGAATCTCAGAGGGAAGGGGGGTGGGGCAAGGAGGGATGTGATTAACCAGGGAACTTATATGCATACATGCATAACCTTTGGACACAGACAATAGAGTGGTGAAGGCCTGGGAGGGGCGGATGTAAGGTGGAGAGTGTCAATGGGATAAAAACAAACAAACAAACAAACAAACAGAGGCATCTGTAATACTTTCAACAATAAATTTTTTAAAAAGAAATGAAAATAAAAATACTTCTCAATGCTCAGAATCTTATTAAATAATATGCAACTTAAGTAAATCATATCTAATTTCTATTTCTTCTTCTTCTTCTTCTTCTTCTTCTTCTTCTTCTTCTTCTTATTATTATTATTATTAGTATTCTGAAGCCACACACTCAGCATTCTATAACGAAATAAACATTGGATGTCTAGTTTATGCTATGGGACCGTTTTAGCAAGTCACTACACCTCTCCTGACTGCTTCCGTGTCAGGATATGACGGTGCCACCAGGTGACATGTAAAATGATTCTCAAATTCAAATTAGCAAGAAGGCAGATTACCAGTCTGGCAACCCTAAAGAACAACGAGGTTCCTGGTTTATTGCCTTGGCAGTTAGTGTGGAAACATGCCATATATCAATCAACAACAATGTCCTGGGTACCTCTTAACAAACCAAAAAAAAGTGTGGGGTGTTGCTATGGAGACTTCAAAGAAATAGTACTATATCTCCATGGTTTTACTATCAATAAGGTTGGAGAGATACAGTTACATCAGATAAGAACATCCAGATGTGCCAACTGGTATTTCATTAAGTCAGTGAACGTTTATTGGGAACCTATTGCATGAGTTAGCTCCTCACCTAATGAGTATCACAGATAATAGTGCTGATATGTTTGGGGAAAAGCTGTCACTTTTCTCCATTCGTATAAACCAGTGATGGTGAACCTCTTGAGCTCGGCATGTCAGCATTTTGAAAAACCCTAACTTAACTCTGGTGCCGTGTCACATATAGAAATATTTTTGATATTTTCAACCATAGTAAAACAAAGACTTATATTTTTGATATTTATTTTATATATTTAAATGCCATTTAACAAAGAAAAATCAACCAAAAAAATGAGTTCACGTGTCACTTCTGACACGCATGTCATAGGTTCGCCATCACTGGTATAAACTATAGTAATACACTGCATTCACTCTTCAGTGAGTAGCATAGTGTTATCCATTATCTCAAGTATCTTTCATGGACCTAACTTACTGCTATGGAAAGAGCACGGGTTTATCTTATTCTTGGGTAATTCTGAAAGTCCCTTCCCTGTCACCTGCTCCTCCAGCTGAGATCACCACCTCTGTTGTGTCCCACAGGCTGTTTCTAAGCTGAGAGCTAGTAGTCATCAATAATTTGATAGCGAATTTAATTAAATGTGCATTGATTGAGAGCTGTGTAGGAGATGTGCATCGCAAGCATTGTGTTAAATGCTGGCTATATGGAGAGTAAACATCATTTGTACCCTGCCTGTGTAGTTTATAGTCAAGCAGGGAAATAATTCAATTATGATACACATGATAGATATACAGTGATAAGGCCTGTTCAATGTTCAGGGGTAGCTCATTCATTCATTTATTCATTTAACAAATATGTATCTAGTGCCTATTTCCTCCAGCCACCATCCAAGTGGGTACTATACATTGGGGAGAAAACAAACAAACAGACACGGTCTCTAAACTTATGGAGCCTGCAGATGAATGGAAGAATAGATAAGTGGATGAGCAAACAGCAAAAACAGTATGTAATTTCCCGAAATGCTAAGTCCCATAAAGGAACAAGCAAGGCACAGAGATAATGCGAGGGGTGGACCTATGTTCTCAGCATCTCAGCTGAGACCTGAAGAACACAAGAGCCCATCATGCAATGAGCAGAGGTGAGGGCCCCGGGTCAGGGGCCCGGCACAGCGAAGGCTGGGAGGCAGGAGTGAGGGTGGCGTGCCTGGGGACCTGAACTGGGCGCTGTGGTTAAAGGGGTGAGCAGCGGGAGTGAGTCTGGAGGGAGGGCAGCCACGGCTTTGTGGATCAGATAGAGAATTTCTTTAAAACCCAATGAGAAGCTGTTGAAGGATATTACATTGGGGGAGGACAAGCATCTAAGTTTTAGACATTTACCCTGGGCACTAAACAGAGACCGCATGGGAGTGGAACATGTGTGGTTTTGGGGAGACCATCTGGGAGGTTGAGGTGACGTGGGCTGGGCTGGTGGCAGTGGGCAGGCAAAAAACTATGGCTGGATGTGAGGAGGGAGGGAAAGAAAAGACCCATATGAAGGGGTCAAGGAGGCTACTGCACATACAAGCGTGGATCTTGGGGAAGAGTACAGGGTGGGGACAGCGATGAACACGCTTCTGACAACTGCAGGGTGTCAAAGGGTAGGAGCAGATGAAGTCATTCGTGGAATTAAAAAGAGGGAGCCCTGTCCCCAGTCACTGCAACCTTCCCAGGAGCTGAACAATGTGCTATGTTCAGGTTCTGTAAACATTTTCGTGTCACCAGTGCATATAAAGCACCTGCTGTGGATGAATGGGCCAGAGGACACCTTGACCCAAAGGGGAGGTAGAGGGCATATTTCCTGGAGGCAAAGGGAACACACACTGAAGGCTCCTTCACCAGCACGACACCTACAAGGCCCTGGACATGGTCTTGTATTTGTAGGTTAGGCTTTTCTTTTTCTCTGGAGAGCCTCCAAGTTCCTAAAGTTCAGGCCCCACAACATCGGGCTCTGCCCCTGGTGGGGAGCTTCAGGAACAGAACATACCATCAGAACAGAACATACTATCAGGAACCACCAATGCCCTGGCAATGCGGTGGCCAATGGGGCCTTTAGATTAGATTACCTCTGTGCTGGGTCGACTAGAAGTTGTGGGCAAACATATTCTTTGCACAAAAGCTTTCTGTTCAAGCCTATCCCCTGACCTATTCGCATGTGCCCCAACCAGGAAGTTAGTGATAGCACTGTGAGGGGGAAGGGCGAGGCCTGGGCCAGGGCTGGGAAGGGAACGAGCCATGGGCATCACTCCGGCCATGAGAACACCCTGTGGATAGTCAACAGAATGGACTCACCAGGCAACCAAGAGTTCATCTCGTTCGCCAAATCCAAAACGTTTGAAGAAGAGGAGAAAGAGTAAAAACGGTCAGGCAGACTGGCTGCATAATCCACAGGGCCCAGTGCTAAGTGAAAGCGTGGTGGGCCTGCTGTTCAAGAGTATTAACAATTTCAAGACAATGGCAGCAGAGCATGAACCCAACAGCCGGCACCGTTTGGAGCAGGGGCCCGATGTGGTGCCACAGGTCACCACTCACGAAGTCAGCCCTGGGAACAGAAGGAACTTTGGCGCAGGGCTCTCACATTTATTGGGCATGGTCTATGTTCCAGACACAGGCAAGATGTTCACAATTCATTTTGCCTTCAGAACTACTTTGTGAGAGAAATATTATTATCGGCACTTCACAGCTGAGCAATCAGGTCTTAAAGGGATTGTTTGCACACACACGCTCAGGTTGTACATTGGTGTCCAGAAGGGACCAAAAGTCACTGCCCAAGCATTGGTCAGAACCAGAAACACGGGGCTGTGTCATAGGCTCACTTAACAAAGATGTCAAAATGGCTTGATGAGTCGTGTGAACCACAGTTGAGGCAGTAAATAGGAAACGGAACCCCCCTGGTCCTTTTCCACTTCCCTGAACCCTTCAGCTCTGAACTAGTGCGAAGAGGTTGTCATCCCAGCAAAAGCTTCTAGACGTTCCGGTTTTAGTATTTAGCTGCTCTGGCTGGCATAGGGTTAAATGACTACTGCTTTATTTGCAACTTATTTATATTAAAAGTGAAAGGTCAAATTCACACAGGGTGAAATAAAGGGCTCATTATAAACATGCAAACAAACGCAAGTGTTCGCTGCCAAAAATATCCAAACAAACCAAACCAGAAACAAGAAATATCTCCTTGGCTCAAATGGTGCCGTTCTTCCACAGAGATGAAAGGAAATCCTGAAATTCAAGACCAAACCCAAGCAAGTACAAATTTTATGTTGCTCTTTAGTGGACACCAGGTTAAGGGAGAATTGATACACTGGCTAATTGAAGCACCGGGGACACCCACATTGCAAGCTGAGGCCAAAAGATCTATTAAGGCACTGGAATTTTCTAGCATTTTCTAGCAGTCTCCAAGCTGTCCTGTCTTCATTCATGCTTGTTTTTTTGCACACACTGTAAAGCATAGACAAAATTCCTTTTATAGAAAGAAAGATTCCTTTATTTACCTGAGTTCAAACATATAGACAACATGCTTATACATGAACTTCACACATAGGTGCTCTTAGCCTTGTTTTAGCATGGAGAGTAAGGGGGGGGGGACTGAGATGGCAGATGTGTGATTTTTAAAGAGCATGTGGATCTGACGTGATCATCACCAAGGAGACATGGCCTCACATCAACATGAGGAACTGGAAGTGAGCCCGTCATGCACCGGTGCCAACTCCGTGGTCCTAGAAACTGGTGAAACGGGTTTGGTACTGACTTTGAACTACACACATGAACCTCAGGGCTTCCACTGAGAGGAGAGTTTACTGGATTGTGGTTCTGGGACCTTTTCTGAGAAGAAGGCGGAGATAGAAACTGGCATCTGTTCTTTCACCCACTACAAGGAGCAGGCAAGCTTACCAAGTCCATTGCTCGACATGAGGAAAGTAGGATATTGAGCTAAGTAAAATGAGTTAGACAGAGAGGAGAATGTAAACAGAGAGGAAAATGGTGGTGAGAATAATAGGAAGGGGCTCACAGGTGGGTGGTGGAAATGGGGTGATGTCGGTCAAAGGCACAAACTTCCAGTTATAACATGAATAAGTTCTGGGAATCTAATATACAACATGGTGACTATAGTGAACAAGC